GTGCAGTGGCATGACCTTGGTTCACTGCAACCTCTGCCTCCCAAGTTCAAGCGATTCTCTTGCCTCAGCCTCCGAGTAGCTGGGACTACAAGCACGCACCACCATGCCCAGCTAATTTTTAAATTTTTAGTAGAGATGGGGTACCACCATGTTGGCCAGGAGCGCCTCGATCTCTTGACCTTGCTGTCTGCCTGCCTCAGCCTCCCAAAATGCTGGGATTACAGGCATGAGCCACTGCACCTGGCCTGTGTATTTATTAAGCAGCTTTCATAATTATTATTTTAATAGTTGTTTAATATGCTATTGAATTGTTATAATACAATTATGTCTCTATTTATTGATTTCTATTCCCCTATTGTGGCTATTTCTGATTATTTAAATGATTATGATATCCAATGCAATAAAAATTAATCTTTTTGTGCCTATATAGATTTTCTATTCCAGCATATAATTTTATGACAAATTCTTTGGATTGAGTTAATGGGACAGTGCAAACTTTTTATGAATATTAAAAGTTTTATCTCCATCGGATAATATTCTTTTCAGCACATAGTATAAAGGGATTATAGAGACAATATTTTGAGTTGAGTAAGTAATAAAGGAGAGTAGAATTGATAACTGGCAGGTAAAAAGAAGAGAAGACCTGTGAGTCAGACTTGGGGAGATAAACAGTGGAAAGTTTAGTTAATGTGTCCAGAAACATCAGGGGAATTAAGTAGAAACATAAGTGAATAGAAAAGTTTCAAACTTAAATAATGTCTTTTCTCCATTTATTTGTGGAGGGCACGTAATAACACTCACAGGGGAGTGACAACTGCTGAATGCAGAAAAGGATTGCAGCAAATGTCATCCCAAATAGTAACCGAATGTCTGGAGCTTCTATAAACTCGAAGATGGGTTGAATTCCCCATTATGTAAATTAAAAGAGGATACTTAAGCTAACCATATGCATAAGATTATGGGCTAAGTAATAACAGCTCAGAAGGCTACTGAATAATGGCTGCTTGCTTGCTTAGTTTTTAATGCTTACTATATATCCATTACATCAAATTGTATAATTTTTAAAACTTCAATTATTTATATATATATATTTTCAAATATAAAAATATCTAAAGTACAATAAAAAAATTAGATTTAATTATTTAATTGATAATTTAAATTTAAAGTGATGATTTAAATAAAAAAAATATCTAAGTCACTGAACTTTTGTATATAACAGCTTTCAGGAATGAACCTGAATGCTGTGGCTTCAACTGTGTCTCTCAAAAAGGTATGCTGAAGCCCTGACATTCAGCATCTCAAAATGTGACCTTACTTGGAAATTAGATGATCATAGATGTAATTAGGTAAGATGAGGTTATACTAGAATAAGTTGGGCCCCTCATCCATTATGAGTGATGTCCTGTAAACAGGCCTTCAGCTTCTCCAGTTGCGGTGTGTGTTCGGGAGAGGAGGGTCTCTCTTTCCCACTTCTGCAGTTGGAGCACTCACAGTATTTAGGGTGTTTGTTGGGTTATGCAGGAGAAGTCTGCTTCCTTCAGAGGACCTGTGGGTCCTCTTGGGATTGCTGGTTTGTTCTTGCCAGTCGCCATGGAGCTAAAAATTACAGTGCAAGCCTCTGCACACTGCTCTGTCTGTAGCTGCAATCTAGTCCCGCCTCCCATCTGCTGTGATGATCCATTTGTTCTATAGTGCAGATTAAATCTAAGCCTTCTTTGTTGATTTTCTGTCTGGAAGATCTGTCCAATGCTGAAAAGGTATTGAAGTCTGCAGCTGTTATTGTATTGGAATCTATCTCCATCTTTAGCTATAATAATATTTGCTTTATATATCTGGGTGCTTCAGTGTTGGGTGCATATATATTTAAAATTGTTATATCCTCTTGCTGAATTGACTCTTTTATCATTATATAGTATCCTTCTTTGTCTCTTCTGATAGTTGTTTCTTGAAATCTGTTTTGTCTGATATAAATATAGTTACTCCTGCTCTTCTTTGGTTTCCACCGGTAAGGAATATCTTTTTCTATCCCTTTATTTTCAGTCTATATGTATCTTTATAGATGAAGTTTGTTTCTTGTAGGCAGTCGATCAATGAGTATTGTTATTTATCCATTCAGCTAGTCTGTGTCTTGATTGGAGAGTTTAGCCTATTTACCTTCAGTGTTATTATTGATAAGTAGGGACTTATTCTTGCCATTTTGTTATCTGTTTTCTGGCTGTTTTGTGGTCTTCTCTTCTTTCTTTCCTTCCTCTCTTCTTTTTTGGTGAAGGTGTTTTTCTTTGGTGATATGATTTAGTTTCTTGATTTTTTTTTTGTATCTGTTGTATGGCTTTTGGTTTCAGGTTACCACGAGGCTTTCATGTACTATCTTATAACCCATTATTTTAACCTGATAACAACTTATCTCTGTTTGCATAAACAAGCAACAAGAAAACTAATAAAAACTCTGTTTTAACTCTGTCTCCCTGCTTTTTAACATTTTGTTGTTTCTATCTATATCTTACTGTAGTATGTCTTGAAAAGTTGTTGTAGTTATTATTTTTGATGGGTTCATCTTTTAGTCTTCTTACGTAGGAAAATAGTAGCTTATAAACCACAATTACAGAGAGTTCTCTCAATACCAGGCGGAGACTCTTGTTCTTTTTCCCTACTCTCTCCTAAACAAATGGAATCTCTCTTTGTTCTGAGCCATCTAGAGCTGGGGGTGGAGTGAGACAACCCTCCTGTGGCCACCACCACTATGACTGTGCTGGGCCAGACCTGGAGCCAGCATAGCACTCGGCTTCACTCAAGGCCTGCTGTAACCACTCCCTGGCCACTGCCTATGCTCAAGACCCTAGGGCTCTACAATAAGCTAGTGGCAAAGCCAGCCAGTCCTGTGTCCTTCCCTTTGGGGCAGTAAATTTCCCAGGCCCCAGGTAGGTCCAAAGGTGCCGTCTGGGAGTCAGGATTAGAGTCAAAAACCTTAGAAGTCTACCTAGTGTTCTCTTGTACTGTAGCTGAGCTGGCACTGAAACCACAAGATATGGTCTTTCCCATTCTTCTCTCTCTTTTCCAAAGGCAAAGGATCCTCACTCTGCGGCCACTGCCACCACAGGCCATGGGGAGTACTGTCAGACTACCGCTGATATTCCTTTAATGCCCAAGGGCTCTTAAATCAGAGGGTGGTGGGGTGGTGTCAGCAATTCAAGACCGAGGTGAATGCTGCCTGGCCTGGGACTCACCCTTCAGGGCAGGTCCAGAAATGCCATCCAAGAGTTAAGTCCTGGAATTGGGGACCCCAAGAGCCTACTTGGTGCTCTACACTGCAGTCTCAGTGCTGGTACCTAAGGTGTAAGACAAAATTCCCTTTACTTTTCCCTCTGCTTTTCTCAAGCAGAGGTTTTGTCCCTTTGCCACCACAGCGAGTAATGTGCTGAGACTCACCTGGAGTCAGTAAGTTGCAGAGACGCACCAAGGCCCTCAGTGTAGTTCCTGGGTATCACTGCTGGGTATTCAGGGCCCAAGGGTTCTTCAGTTAGTGGTGATGAATGCTACCAGGACTATGTTTCCCATCAAGGAATTTTTTTTCCTGGCCCAGATTGTGTCTAGAAATTTCATGTGGGAGTTAGAGCCTGGAACAGGGGACTCACAAGTCTGACCAGTGCCCTTTTCTTCTATGGTTGAGCTGGTATTCAAGATCTAAGACAAAGTTCTCCTCACTCTTCCCCTCTCCTCTTCTCAAATGGAAGGAAGGCATCTCTTTTGGAGATGTGAGTTGTGCAGCCTAGAGTTATGGGAGAGGTGATGCCAGCACTCCCTTAGCCTAGGCACTCCAGCTGGTGTCTCAGTAGGTCATATGTTCCTCAGTCCAACGGCTGTGCTCCTCAGCATATCATTAGGACTTCCCTAGGTGTTGCAGTCCTTGCGGCCTAGACTGTCTTTCACATTTATTTAGAGCACTATGACACTTTAGCCCTGATGGTGAGGCTTGTGGGAACTCAGGTTCAGACTGCTGGGTCAGAAATTCCCCTCTGGCAAGGACTGGTTTAAATGCTTCCTCAGTGGGTGGGTGTCATTTGAGTTTGGTTTGGTTTTCCTTTTTGCACTAACAGGACAACACTGAGTTCAATGTCTCACAATTGCTGTGCTCTCCCTGCCTCTGGGCACAGAAATGCTCTTTGCACCATGTCGCCACTGCCTGGAAGTGGGAGTTGCATTGTGTCAGCAATTCAAGACTTCGTCTTCTTTTTTTTTTTTTTTTTTTTTTTTTACCTTTTCAGTGCATCTTTTAGCCATACAAAGTTAAAATCAGATATTGTGAGTGCTCACCTGATATTTGGTTTGTATGTAGGTGCTTTTCTTCTGAAGGCAGTTGTTTAATTGGTGTTTTTGCTGTGAGGATGATTGGTGGATCCTTCTATTCCGGTATCTTGCTCCGCCTTTTCCATTTTCACTGGGGCAAGGTAATATCTCTTTGCAGCTTTTATTTGCATTTTTCTGATTATTAGTGAGGTTGAACACATTTCCATATACATATTTGCCATTTGTATGTTATCTTTTGAGCATGTTTATTCAAATATTTTGCCCATTTTTTTAATCTTTATGTTCCTTTATTGGAGAAAGATTCCTGATGAGTATACAGTGATGTATTTACTAAACAGAGACCTGTGCAGAAATTACATACTATCCATCGAGATAGGTTGTTACACTTTTGCCTATTGATGGAATAGTTCCATTTATCAAGTTTTATACAGCAAAAAGCTTTTGAATTTCAACAGACTGTCCATTAATTCACCTCTGAAAAAGTGGCATTTAATTTCAGCTACTGTAGTTTACAGCATTAAAAAGCTTATGCATTAGGGTGCTTCTCTGCACAATGGCATTGAGCAGACAGAGCTGAGTCCTTTATCCCACCAGATTCACATTTGAGAGCTTTATACCAGAGAGCAGGGACATTTACTGCTAACCATCACAGACTTCTTACTCTGAGAGCCTGTCTCCTTGGCCACATTTTGTACAGCCAATGAAGACATGCCAGCAACTGTCCCATGTATAACTTGGCATTAGAGCACCAGGTCTGTTGGATGGTGGTGGCAGACACTATTATTTTATATCCAGGTAAAAGGCCAATTTTAAAAACTGCCAATTGGAGATAAAAAATCAAGGGCATAATGTACTCAGAAAGTATTGAGCAATCTGGCATCCCAAATGATGTGAATACTTTCAGAAACCAATGGCAAATTGTACCCATGTTTCCCAGCTATGGAGATATTAATACATTGATTCAGATCCCGTTACTTAATCCACATAGCTCTGAAGTCATCCTGCAAAGTGTGTATCAAAAAATACAAAGTTAGGGTGACAAAGTTTGACAGTGATGTTATACAAGTCAAACTTGGAAGGTCATAGCAAGCATACATATGCTGAGAGAAAAGCATCAAATCCTTTGTGTACACATTTAGTTTTATTGTAACAAAGCAACTTGTACACTTTTAACGTTTGAATCTGAGCATCATCTTTCCTTTCCAGTGAAACAAAAAGAAAATTTAAAAACAGGAACAAAATTACAATAGAGAATGTCAATTCCAAATAAAATCCTACAGATTCCGCTGATTCTCCCATTGAGTGGCAGGGCTCAAGTCATCATTAGGAGAGAATTTATTTTAAAAGTGTCATCTTAAGCTGCAAGGATGTCTGTCAAATATCACAATTAAACATGCCAAAGGAGAAGCCACATTGTCAAAATGCCCACTTAACCCACTCAAACATCTCAACCCCCCGCCTTTGCTGACCTCCTGTAACCCCATTTTTTAAAGTTTTTTTTTTTCTTTTTTTAAACAAGAGAAAGTGGACAGATACTTGTTGGTGAATGCTAACTGTCCATATTCACAGAGACACAGTGTACTCTCTGAGCCCAGTATACAGAGAAAGGAGGAAAAAAGCTAGCATTCTATGCATTACTACACAGGGGCCTAGCACCCTCCAGCTTCCAGCAGAGCGAAGGGAGCAGGTTTTTCTTTTTTCCCAAAGAGCTCGGTGGTGGTGATTCCATACAGTTTTTGTTTAGACAGGAAGGGATAAAAATGAATTTCAAACAGAAAGGGGTAGAGACTCTTTTCCCATTGTATTCTGCTCAAGATATTTCCCCCAAAATAAGTTAAGAACCGTGGTGTAGAGAAAAGAGACCTCAAAAACAGGGTGACTGAGCACACGAGGGAAGAAAAAAAAAAAAGACTGCAACTTGCTCCCAGGGACAGGAGAAATTTTTTAAAAAGGAAGGTTGGACTCCATCAGTGTTCTGTTAGTCATCTTCTTCTTCATCCTCCGCTCCTTCCTCCCCTTCATCATCATCTTCATCTTCTTCACCTTCATCCTTATCCTCTTATTCATCAGTAGCTTCTAATCCTTCCTCCTCTTCATCATCATCTTCTCCTTCTCCTTCTTCATCATCCGTATCAGGAACCAAGTAGTGTTGTAATGGGTTTGGCCAAATATCATCTTTGATGACCTCTTCTAACTCATCAGCACCTGCATCAGAATGGTCAGTAAACCAGGTAAGGAAGCTCTCTGTTTCCTCATGCTGCCTCTTCCTGCTGGCTTTATTCCGCGTTTGACTTGAATGTTTCATCAATTCCTTTCCAGATTTACATTTGATTTTGGTGGACTTTGAAGATGGATCACCACTCTCATTCAGAGGAAATTCTTTGGAGAGAATTTTATTTTCAAAGTAAGGATGTTCACCAAAATAAAAATCTATTCTGTAACCTGATTTAATATCTTCAAATTCTGTCACTTTAACTCTGGTCAAATAATGCAGTGCCTCTTCGTCCTCCTCCACAAGCAGGGCAGACACTTGTGGATGGTTGACAAATGTTGTTACTCCAAAATTTGGGATTTTGGCAATCAATTCTGACCTCTTTTGAAAAAATGGTTGGTGGAGTTTGTTATAGTTCTGTTCTGCTTTCAAAATCTCATTGGCTTCTTCATTAAGTCTGTCTATTTCATTTTGTACTTCATCAATGTGTTCAGTTGCTTCTTGCTGTCCTTTTTCTCCCTTCTTCAGCAAGCCTGCAGAGGCTGATGTCTCCTCCAGTTCCAGAGCAGGAGGTGGTCTTGGTTTCTTCTTTTGAGGCGGGAGCGGAGACTGGCGTTTGGGGGCCATGCTGCTGGGGAAGTCTGAGAACCAGAGCATGAGTCTTCTCACTCATCTGGAAGCAGGCAGAACACTCCTTTTGCCCAATTTTGATTGGATTATTAATTTTTTTCCCCCATGGAGTTGTTTGAATTAATACTGATTAATCCCTTGTCAGATGGGACGTTTGCAAATAGTTTCTCCCATTCTGTGAATTGTCTCTTCACTTCGTTGATTGTTTCCTTTGTTATGCAGAAGCTTTTTAATTTGATGTGATCCTTTTTGTGCATCTTTGCTTTGATTGCCTGTGCTAACAGGGTATAACTCAAGAAATCATTGCCCAGTCCAATGTTCTGCATAATTTTCCTAAAGTTATCTTGTAGTACTTTCTTTCTTTCTTTTTTTTCTTTTTATCTTTCATGAGGTATTTATTAATTACAAGGAGAAAATTACAGTGGAGAAAGCCAGGAGATATTTTATCAAGGTTAATGTCACCAATGATAACATCACTAAATTCATGATGAGATGTACTGAGAAAGTTACAATATTACTTATGTGATATTCTTGTAAAAAATGCATAGCCTCAATCTAATCATGGTTAAACACCAGATACACTCAAATTGAAAGACATTCTAAAAATAACTGACCAATATTATGAAATTCAGGGACAGACTATATAACTATTTCAGACTGGAGAAGACCAAGGTGACAGGACAACTTTTTTGTGTCTTTCTAATTTGTAATTTTTTTAAAGAAATAACTTCAGACATACAGAACAGTTGCAAAAATAATACAGAAAGTTGCCATTTACCCTTCACCCAGCCTCCCCTGGTGTAAATATCTTATATAATCATAAAACTTGTTTGTATTTTGATACAACTTATCAAAACTAGGAAATTACAATTGATACAGTGCTAGTAACTAAACCACATTAACTATCCAAATGTCACTACTTTCTGCTCTCATGACATTTTTTTCCTGAGGATACAATTCTGGATCTTGTAGTACTTTCATAGTTTGACGTCTTAGATTTAAGTCTTTAATCCATTTTAATTTGCTTTTTGTTACTATATCTCTGTAATATAATTTGAAGTCAGATAATGTTACTCTTCTAGTTTTGTTGTTTTTCGTCAGGATAGCTATTCTGGGTATTTTGTGGCTCCATTAAATTATAGGATCTTTTTTCTTTTTTCTGTGAAGAAATATTTTTTGTTGGAATCTTTAGTTTCTTTTCCAAATATAAATTTTCAAATCACTAATATCATCTGCAAACAAGATGACTTCTTGTTTTGACTTATTCTTTTCTAATTTGGTGCTCTTTCTTTCTTTTTTTTTTCTGATTGCTTTAGCTAGGAATTTTGGAACAGTGTTGAATAACAGTGGTGAAAATGGGCTTTCTTTTCATGTTCTAGACCTTAGAGGAAAGGCTTTCAGTTTTTCTCCATCTGGTATGATATTAACTGTGGGTCTGAGCTATATGGTTTTTATTATTTTGGAATATGTTCCTTTTAATTTTTGAGGGTTCTTATTGTGAAGAGATATTGAATTTAATCAAATGCTTTTTCAGCTTCAAACGAAATGATCATATAGTTTTTATTCTTCATTCTGTTGATATGATGTATCATACTGATTGATTTGCATATGTTGAGCCATGCTTACATGTCTGGAATAAATCCCACTTGGTCATGAGGAGTAATGTTTTTTTTTTTTTTTTAATTGCATTTTAGGTTTTGGGGTACATGTGAAGAACATGCAAGGTTGTCACATAGGTACACACATGGCAGTGTGATTTGCTGCCTTCCTCCCCATCACCTATATCTGGCATTTCTCCCCATGCTATCTCTTCCCAACTCCCCACCCCCTGCTGTCCCTCCCCTATTTCCCCCCGACAGACCCCAGTGTATGATGCTCCCCTCCCTGTGTCCATGTGTTCTCATTTTTCAACACCCACATACTATAAGGGCACATACACACAAATGTTCATTGCAGCACTGTTCACAATAGCAAAGACCTGGAACCAACCCAAATGCCCATCGATGATAGACTGGACAGGAAAAATGTGGCACATATATACCATGGAATATTATGCAGCTATCGAAAACAATGAGTTCGTGTCCTTTGTAGGGACATGGATGAACCTGGAAACCATCATTCTCAGCAAACTGACACAACAACAGAAAATCAAACACCGCATGTTCTCACTCATAGGAGGAATAATGTTTTTAATGTGTGGTTGAAATTGGTTTGCTGGTATTTTGTTGAGAGTTTTTACATCAATGTTCATCAGGGATATTGGCCTCTAATTTTCTATTTTTGATGTGTCTTTGTCTGGTTTTGGTACAAGGGTAATACTGGCCTCATAGAATGAGTTCGGAAATATTCCCTTCTATACTATTTTTTTGGAATAATTTGAATAGGATTGGCATTAGTTCTTCCTTAAATGTTTGGTAAAATTCAGTAATGAAGACATTGGGTCCCAGGCTTTGCTTTTCTGGAAAATCTTTATTATGGCTTTGATTGTTACTTGTTATTTATGTGTTCATGTTTTGAATTTATTCATGGTTCAGTCTTGATAGGTTATATCTGTCTAGGAATTTATCCATTTCTTCTAGGTTTTTCAATTTATTGGCATATAGTTTCTCGTAGTAGCCTCTGATGATCCTTTGAGTTTCTGCTGTATTGATTATAATGTCTCCCTTTTTATCTGTGATTTTATTTGAGTCTTCTATCTTTTCTTAGTCTGACTAAAGGTTTTTCAATTTCTAAAAATATTTTCACAGTACTTTTAGTTTCATTGATATTTTGCATTTTTCAATTTTAATTTTATTTATTTCTTCTCTGCATTTAATTATTTATTTTCTTCTACTAATTTTGAATTTGGATTGCTCTTGCTTTTCTGGTTTTTCAAGATGCATAATTAGGTTGTTTATTTGAAGTTTTTCTTCTTTTTTGATGTAGGTACTTACAGCTATAAACTTTCCTCTTACTGCAGCTTTTGCTGTATTTCATAGGTTTAGATATGTTTTGTTTCCATTATTATTTGTTTAAATTTTTTTTGAAATTCCTTCTTATTCTCTTCATTGACCCATTTGTCATTCAGGAGCATATTGTTTAGTTTCCATGTGTTAGTGTAGTTTCTAGAATTCTTGTTATTCGTGTCTAGTTTTATTTCATCCTGGTCAGATAAGATACTTGATGTTATTTCAATTTTTGAATACTTTCAGACTTGTTTTGTGGCCTAATATATGGCTTATCCTTGGGAATGGTCTATGTGCTGAGGAAAAGAATGTGTATTATGCGGCTGTTGTATGAAATGTTCTGTAAATATCTCTCAGATCTATTTGTTGTATAGTGTGGATTAAGCCCAATGTTTCTTTGTTGATTTTCTGTCTGGAAGATTTGTCCAATGCTGCAAGTTGGGTGTTGAAGTCTCCAGCTAGTATTTTGTCATAGTCTATATCTCTCTTGATCTCTAATAATATTTGGTTTATATATCTGAGTGTCCACTGTTGGATGCATATATGTTTACAACTTTTATATCTTATTGAAGAATTGATCCCGTCATGATTATATAGTAATCTTCTTCGTCTCAGTTTTTGTCTTGAAATCTATTTTATGTGACATAAGTATAGCCACTCCTGCTCTTTTTTGGTTTCCATTGGCATAGAATATCTTTATCTGTCCCTTCATGTTCAGTCTATGTGTATCTTCATAAGTGAAGAGTGTTAAGTGAAGATCATTTGGCCATTTAAAAAATCCATTTAGCCACTCTCTGTATTTTGACTGGAGCGTTTAGTTCATTTTACATTCAATGTTATTATTTATAAGAAAGGTCTTACTCCTGCCATTTTGTTATCTGTTTTCTAGTATTTTTTTTGGTCTTCTCTTCCTTATTTCCTTACTTACTGCCTTCCTTTCAGTCAAGGTGACTTTCTCTGGTGGTCTGATTTAATTTTCTCAATTTTATTTGTTGTATTTCTGTTGTGTGTTTTTTAGTTTGACATTACAATGAGGCTTGCATATTCTATCTTATAATCCATTATTTTAGATAGATGACAATTTAGCATTGATTGTATAAGCAAACTGACAAGCAACAGGAAAACTAACAAAAACTCCATGCTTTAAGTATGTCTCCCTACTTTTTTAACTTTTTGTTTTTTGTCCTTATGTCTTATTGTACTCTCTGTGTTTTCAAGAGTTGTTGCAGTTATTATTTTTTATTGGCTTGCCCTCTGTTCTTTCCCCTTAAGATAAGAGTAGTTTATACACCACCATTACAATGTTATAATATTACGTGTGCTTCCTATTACCAGTGAATTTTGTACCTTGAGATGATTTCTTATTGATGATTAATGTTTTTTTATTTCAGATTGGAGAACTTCCTTTAGCATTTCTTGTAGAACAGATCTGGTGTTGATGAAATGTCTTAGCTTTGTCTGGGTAAGTCTTTATTTCTCCTCATGTTTGAAGGATTTTTTTGCTGGATATAATACTCTAGAATAAATTTTTTTTTCCTGCACTTTCAATATGTAATGTCACTCTCTCCTGGCCTGTTAGGTTTTCACTGAGAATTCTATTGCCAGACATAGTAGAGCTTCATTGTTTGTATGTTATTTCTTTGTTTTCTCTTGCCACTTTTAGGATCCCTTCCCTATTTTTGATCTTTTAGAATTTGATTATTAAATGTCTTGTGGTGGTCCTCCTTGGGTTAAATATGCTTGATGTTCTTTAATTTGCTTGTATTTGAATATTGATATTTTACTCTTGGTTTCAGGTGTTCTCTGTTAATAATCTTTGAATAATCTTTCTGCGCTTACCTTTCTCTCTACCTCCCTTTTAAGGCCAATACAACCTAGACTTTCCCTTGTGAAACTATTTTCTAGATTTTGTAAGTGTGCTTCATTTTTTCTTCTTTTGCCTCCTTTGACTGTGTATGTTCAAATAGTCTGTTTTTAAGCTCACTAATTCTTTCCCTTGGTCAATTCTGCTGTTAAAAGCCTCTGATGCATTCTTTAGCATGTCAGTTGCATTTTTCGGCTTGAGAATTGCTGCTTGATTCTTTTAAATTATTTTAATCTTTT